CAAAGGGTACTGAGCAAAGTCAGAAAAGAAAAGGTGTTTAGGACAAAGTCTGGAGGAAACCAGGTAGTGGCTTCCAGTCCTCTCAATGGAGGCATACTGAGTATATTTAATTCTCACTGCAAGGAGATGTGACATGTGCCAGCCAGGGAACACTGTTAGAGACTTAGTGCTTAGAGTTTTTACTGGGAGCAAATCACATGGGCACCCTCTGCCTAATTTCTACAAATTTCAGATTCTTTGCAGGAGAGCAAGTATTCATCATACTGATTTGACACACGTTAGGTACAGTGAACCATTTCTAACTGTTGGGGAAGGTAAGAGCCTTCCTGAAATTCAAGTTCCTAGGTATCAGCCAAGGGCCAACTTTGTAAGCATGTGATAGGTTGTTAGGCCTGCTGTATCAGCTCTTTTTTGCAGAGGTGGATGTATGTGTGTATGCAACATTTAGCATATAGTGTGCTCTGATTAAATGGTAGCTGTTTTTATCTGTTGTAGGGATTCTTCACTGATTACCACCACTACTACTACTTTTAATTGTGGTCTTCTGCTTTCATATGAGGTAGGTTGGTTAGTATTTTGATCTCCATTTGATAGATGAAGAGACCAAGGCAAAGGAAAGCTCTAACATTTCTAAATACTTTCATGTAATTGACAGAACGAGTATTTGAACCCAGTAGTTTGCTCTTTGGAAGGCTCACAGGAAAGAAAAAAATAGTAATTTTTTTTTCCTCTTTGGCATTTCTAGAGGGCATTTCTAAAATAGGAAATAAGATTAAATGTTTAAGTTAATGTCTCACTGGACCAATTTACAACTTCTTATCTTAACTGTTGTATTCATGAAGTACTCTAAGCTACCTATATAATTCTTGAGCTTTTGGGCACAATGTCATTTACTGTAGTGTAGTCTTGCTGGACCAAAACATGATATTGACTGTTTAGGATTTTGTATACTTAAAACAAAAAGTTCATTAATCCTAACCTAAGATTAATCTGATTTATGTCAGTACTACTATTTTTTTTTCAGTACCCGGGATTGAACTCAGGACCTTGCACTTGCCAGGCAGGCACGGTGCCACTGAGCTACATCCCCAGCCCTACTTTTGATTAATATAAATTGGTATTTCATTCTTATCCCTTCCTTTTAATCTCGAATAAATCAGAGGGACAGTAAGATTTCAGTCAGTATGCTGAGCTCCTGCTTAGCCTTATATAAACTTTGAGATTAAAAAAAATATTTATTTTGCAGTACTGGGAATGAACCCAGGGTCTCTACCATTGAGTACATCTCCAGCCCTGTTATTTTTTTTATTTTGAGACAAGGTCTTGCTAAGTTGCTCAGACTAGCCTCTAACTTGTGATCCTCTTGCTTCAGACTCCTGAGTCTCTGGGATTACGGGCATTTGCCACTATGCTCAGTGATAATTTTACACTTAATAAATTGTGTTGTATGCCACTCTACTGGCTGAAATATTTCTGAAGTGTTTTCACTCTTGTTGCACTCATTTGATTCATATAATAGCCTGTTACGATGTTATTATTATTAATCAAAATTATGTTCACTGTTACTCTGATTTTGCAGAAGAGGAAGTTGAGATTGATTTTATCTAAAGCACAAAAGCTTTTATATTGGTGATCAGGTTTTTAACTTTATATTTATACTGTATAAAAGATAAAGATGTTAAGCTCTTGAGACACTTTGTGCTAAATATCAGTAAGAACCATTATAGAAAGAGTCAATTCTCCAACAGTAAGTTAAAATTATTTCTACCAGCCTATCACTAATATATTTTTGATCTCTTGTGTTGGATAGTAGACTTATTTATAAGCCTGAATAAGATTATGCTTCTTATGAATATGATTATGCCCTTATAAAAATAAAGATTACAAATTTTTTAGAGTAGATATGAGTTGAATCTTGTTTGTACAAGAAGAAACTATGACAGAATTTATTATATCTTAACTAGAGATCTTTCCAGATATGACACAAAATGCAGAAGCTGTAATAAAAAGGTTGAGTAATATAACTACAAGAAAACCTCCAAAGTCAGCACAAATATGAATTAGGAAGAATATTACTATTCATGTGACATAGGACTAAGAAAAAATTAATAGAAGCAATAAAGGAAATGCATATATATTTCATATCAAAAGAAATAAATTACTTTTAACTATATGAAAAGCACTCAGTTTCACTCAAAATAAGTATATAAAACACATAATTTCACTTTTTAGATTGACAAAGTTAAAAATTTTCAACATTCTTGAGCTGGAAAAGGTGTGAAGAAATAACATTCTTGTACATTACTAACAAGACTATAAATTAATACAGGCTTTTGGGAAGCATAATTTGGTATTATATGTTAAAAAGCACATTATTCTTTGACCCAGTGATTCTCATTCCAGCAATTTATCCTATGGATAGAGGATATACTTGCAGATATGCAAAGTATAGCAACCATTATTGGCTGAACGGCAGTTGGTTGTTTTAATAGTCTCTGAAGATTTAAACATACCTCTGATACCTGTATTTTCATTCTCCTTTTCATTCTGAGTATTATTTTATATTCTCTCTCTCTCTCTCAACCAGTTTTACTATGTACTGGTTTACTGGTCATCTCAAAGTACTGTATACAAAAATCTGAATCAACCAAGATTGTTAGTTGCAATAAACAGAGATCCACTTTGCCAAGTTTGACCACAAAAGGAATTTATTAAGGAAGAATATGGGTAACACAGTCACCAGACAAGTAGAAAATTAGGTTTACAAAATGGCAGCCTGAATCAAGAGCAATGTCTATATAACATTAATTCTTTGAAATTTTTGACTTAGTGTATTACTAATATTTTAAATTATTCCTTGTTTGCTTTAAGGAATGTATATTCTATTCATGGGGTGCATACATATATAAATATACATGATTAAACATTTTAGCCAGGGATAATGGCACACGCCTGTAATCCTAGCACTCAAGAGGCTGAGGCAGGAGGATCGCCACAAGTTCAAGGCCATCCTGGACTACATAGTGAGACTCTGTCTAAAAAAAAAAAATTAATTTTATCATGAATGTTTTCTATATTCACTGCCTTTTCGTTTGCCTAATCTGTCTTGTAAAGTTGTGGTATGTTACAATTTCTTTTCATAATTTTGGATTAATTTCTCCTTATAATGTTTTGCTGTGGTGTGCCTTCATACAAATGAATGATTTTTAAAAAATTATAGTAAAGAGGACTTTCAAGGGAAACTACTGCAATGGGAGTTGATAGTAGGGAAGAGAAATTTGGCTGAACTCCAGTTAGTTGCCTTTTTAATCATTATATACTTTCCCTCTTTATTCCTATTAGAGCTTTTCTCCTTGCTTTGTCAGGCACTAGCTTTGTAGCCTTGAGGAAGTCATTTAACTCCTCAGTTTTCTTATTGCAAAATGGGTACAGTATAATACTTATAAAGTTTCTGTGAAAATTCATTGAGAAAATGTATGTGAAGAATCTTGCATGTAATAGGTTTTCAGTATATGCATTTGAAGTACTTTTTTGCTTTAAGGCCTCTGCTTTCGCCTCCCTCACCTCCCTTTTTTTACACTAAATACTATTTGCTGGTAATTGGAAGTGTGTTTAAAGGATATGGCAAAAATAAATAAACCAGGAATTTTTTTAAGTGGGTGAAAGTCATGCAATATTTGTGTTTCAAACTCAGGATCTAACAATTATTTAGTACTTGGTAGAGCTTTAAGTTATTGGGGTTTTTTTTGTATTTACATTAAGAACAATGTATCCAAGTATCTTCTACATTCTTCTGTCTTTGAAAATAGTTGAGACAACTGGAAAAGGGCAAAAAGCCAAAAGCAACCTTTTGAGGTGCTTACTTTTCTAGAATATTTATCAAACCTCAATGGAATATAGTTATCAGTAAATTTTACACTTATTGCTATATTTAGACAACAAAATATATAGAGGAGATACAAAGAACTGTCATAAGTTTAGGAAAGCAGAAGTACTTTCCCCTTCTTGTGATAGCATTTAAGACTTTTCTTTCAGTCCTGTTCTAAATTTTTATCATCCATTTATATAATGAACATGTCTTGTGTGCTTCCTATAGACCTTAGATTTAAATATATATAGAGAGAAGGGGAGAAGACAGAATGTCAGCTGAGAAAACAGCATAAAAGTTAAAAAGTATATGGTATATGTATATTTTGTGACTAGATAGTCTAGGGCTTAGAGATAAAATTTTTTAGAAAGTTCAAGTGGTCAGTCTCTGGAGAACCTTGAAAGTCATGTTGAAGAATTTTGAATTTATTCTGTAGATAGGTCAAAACCATTGAAGACTTTTAGGGTTTAAAAAATCAAGTTGCAGGGGCCAGGGATTTAGCTCAGTGGTTCTGCCTCCTGCCCTGCAAGCGCAAGGTCCCTAGTTCGAGCCAAGTTTGATCCCCGGTAACAAAAACCCCCAAAAAATCAAGTTACATACTGAAAAAATATGTAAGATACAAGATTATACACAGCTTATATATAGGAAAATACTTTAGTGGTGTTGAGAAATAGAAAAATATGATATTATGATTAAAACTTGACCTCATTTAAAATGTTACATAGTATCATTGATTTAAGAGCTTTGAATATAATTTTTCCCCCTTTTACGTTATCAGTGAGCCCCTGCCAACCCACCCTATATAAAATAAGGTTTTCCTTCCACCTTACATTTATTTTCTTCCTATAGGATTTATTGTCACAAGTTTTAGTATGTATAAACATTTGTTAGTTGTCTCTTCCCTCTCTAATACTATAAAGCACCATGAGAGCAAGAACTACATTTGTTCAGTAGTTCTTCCAGTACTTAGAATAGTAACTGATTTGTAACCTTTAATATATTTGTTAAATGAGTGAATGAGTATTCAAATTGAGATGACCACAGTTTTTAATGTTCTTTGTAAACTGGACACGGTCTTGGTGCTTTCTATTAAATCTTGTTAAAAATTAATTCTCTTTTCCTTTTCCTCCAGAATTTATATTCAGAGCACCAATCAAATTGAGCAAGCCTGGGGAACTTCGTGAGGAATATGAATGCCTGAGAAAGGTATAGTATACATATTATCATGACATTTACTTTCTTAAGGTAAATTGAAATAATTATTCATTGGATTTTGAAAACTTTATAATGCAGAACCTGTCTTTCTTCATACTATGTACTTTGTACCAGCCCAGTTAGGGGGAATTATAATAGAAGTAAATTTTAAAACCCCTTTTTATTTGTTATTTCAAAGATGAAAATATAGCTTACAGGGCCTGTCACATGCCTGTTATAATAACTAGTTACTAAGAAATGTATTCTTGATATATTCAATAAGTGGCTTTGCTAGTAATTGTATTATTTACTAGTAAGTAGTATTATTTTTCCTTATCTTGAAAGGTTATTTTAAAGACATGTGGATAGTATTATCTTTTCTTGTTTTCACTCTATTAGAAAGTACGCCAGCAGAATTGTATTACAGGTCAGTAAAGGGGTGATGAAATAATTTCCCAATTAGAAAATTTTGTCATTTACCATAGGAAGATTCTAGCTATGTCCACATAATCTTATTTTTGTTGTATTCAAATTAATGGTCTGGGACTCTCCTAAAGAAGTAAGGCTTTGACGGGGATTTAGCTCAGTGGTGCCGCTGCCTGCCTCGCAAGTGCAAGGTTCCGAGTTTGATCTCCGGTACCAAAAAAAGAAGGCTTCAAAAACTGTAGGAAGAAGAAGTTTGGGGTATGCTTAAAACATACAGTAAATATTTAAAATTTTAAAACTTTATTACAGTAAAAGATACATTGTCATTAATTCCCCTCAGAATACTCCCCCTCACTTCAAATACACTTAGACACACTTATCCCATTGTTCTTGGCCCTTTCTCAAGCAGTTGTGGAAGTCCTTTCTCATGAGTTTTTTTAGTTGCACTGTCCTAGCTGCCTTTGTATCTTCTATCTATTCAAAATGTTTACCTTTCACGGTCATTTTGATTTTGAGGAAGAGTTAGGAGCCACACAGTACTAGTGGATAAAGTGGATATGATGTTTTATAAACCTGCCTTTCCATTAGATGGTACTCAACAGCACATTCACTATATTTTTGATCATACCTTGTAAAGACATTTGTGAAAAAGGACTTTGAGAGCTGCTACAGAAAGTGGCAAGAACAGTGGGATAAGAGTGCTCAAAATGAGGTAGAATATTTTGAGGAGGATTAATAGCAATGTGTATTTTACTGTAATAAATTTTTCTTAAAACATTCCCTGTATATTTCTATCACACCTCATACATTGCTGGATTTGTATCATTCTTCCTTAGCCCTCTTCCTGCATGGATTAATAGTAATAAAATATGGTAGCTTTATAATTCATTAGGAAATAAGTCTACATATGAATATTTAGTATTTTATAAATATAAATTATCCACTTAATCTGAACCATCCACTATCATAAAAGTGAGACTGGAACAGAAGATGAAATATGAAAATATTGTATTTCTCAACCTGTTAGATGTCTGATACAACAAGTTTATGTTCTCTAAAATTGAAGTTTGAATTCTAGGAACAACGGAGATTAAGAGTAGGAAAATATTTATTGAAAGGATAGCTTCTGAGAGGCAGGAGAGGGCCTGAAGGGGTAGCAAGGAACTCCACTTTACAGGGAAGTTTTACAGAACAAAACCCACATGGGTACAACGTGGGTTACAGCTATGATTAATCAATAAGGTGATAAGTATAGTTGCTTAGGTGATAGTGATCCAATGGGGAAATGAGTCACATAACAAGTGTATATGGAAAGAACAAAGACTTTTTCTAGAGAATAATGAGTCTGGAGATCTTGGTCACTCACAGGGGTGACTGATGTTATCTAGACTTCATTAGGTCCAGGGTTTGTCTTTTGAGGAAGTATGCAGGCCTGGTCATTTCATCTTTATCTTGAGGCCTGGTCTCCAACAAATGTGCCTCTGGCCACGATTGTAATGTGTTTTACCTTTGTCCTGACTCTGTCAAGGGCCCAGCCCTGTCTCAGTGCCTAGACTATTTCTAACTTAGTTGTCTATAATGTTCTCCCTTCTGAAGAGATATGCTGAACTGCCTGAGAAGCAAAGAGCAATGACCATTCTGGCTATTTCAGGCTAAAGGGGTCGTGGTTGTAATTGTCAATCAAAGATATTTTCTAGAAGGTCTATCAAAAGGCCCTTGATGGATGTCAGGCATTCTTGGGTAGGTGTATAGCTTTACATTTGGAGGAGACAAGGCCAAAGAAACAGCTAAGTATGGGCCAAACAGTAAGATTAACGAGACTATTATGAATATAACCAACAAATATTTCCACCAGGAAGAGCCAATAATAGCCTCCTACTAGGAGGGTAAGGAGAAGGAACAGAAAATTTTAGAATCTGACATGGCTTTAACCTGTCATTTTATATCTTGAACAGCTGTCAAAATAGTAGCAGAAGTATCAGGAATGTACACACAACATTCAGCTTTTACAATTGTGCAAGTACCCTCTTGTGCTATTGTCAGGATGTCTGATGTCATACAATTTTGGAGGACAGCTTGTAATATTAATTTTACTTTTTTATTTAGGAGAGATTCTAGTTGAGGTGTCATTTAAGGCCCATTGAGTATCATTGATTAAGGCCTCAATATGTTGTATGACATCTTTTAATTCTAGGGAAGGGACAAAGAAGCCAAATGTTCATACCAGTGAAATGCACTCTTAGACCATTGATGTAGATGGGGCAAGTTTGCAGGTTTGTCAATATTTTTGATACTCTTGCCTTATAACCACATAAGTCTCTCTAGTTTTGACTCTAAGGTAAAAAGTTTTGTGGTTTTGAAGGACAATTTTATTTATTATTTATTATTTATTTTAGAAAGGAAAGAGTATATTTGGCTTACAGTTCATAGAGGGTTCAGTCCATAATTGGCTGGTTCCAAGGCAGGGTGGCGTGGCAGATAGGCCTTGAAGGACAGTTTTAATTAAAGAACTTCAGACTCTTGTTGAGCTTTTATAATTTTTTTTAATAGCAAAACATTTATTGGTATGTTTCAGCCATAACTAATGATAACACTCATCATAGGGAATTTACCCCTGTACATGATACATCCTGCCTCTTATAGTTTTTATTCTTTCTGAACCATAACAGTGGTCAGCTACCAGTGTAACAGGAAACTGTCAGAAAGGGTTACGGTTTTTATTTTTTTGGTACTGGGGATCGAATTCAGGATCTTGCACTTGCGAGGCAGTCGCCAGAACCACTGAGCTAAATCCTCGGCCCTGGAGTCCCTTTTTATAATCTAGCATTTAGTACTATGGTATTGTTTTTATATATCTTTATACTTTTCTGCTGTGTGTTTAAGAACAAGTTAAAATGAGACCTGTGTTAATCAAAATTAACCTCTTTCTATCTGTCAAGGTTAGTTAAGTCTTCTCAGGCATTACTTTTGGAATCATGTAGAGAGTCTCTTAGCTCCTCTGTCAGTGTCACCTGCCAGCATGGGTCACAGTCTTGCTTGATTATGTTGCCTTCTGTGAAAGCATGGGAGGTTTTGCTCTTTTTGGTGATCTTCCTTCAGCACACTGTACATTTGTTGATTTTTGTCCTCTGAGGTCTAGAAATCTCCCTGCTCAGGAGGTTAAGTGACTCACCAAAGTTGTACGATCTTGTACAAAAAGTTCCCTCATGTTCTGGGTCCTTGTTGACCATGAAAGGCCAGGACCAAAATATTGGCTATTTTCTTAGCCCAGTTACCTTTCTAGCTCTGGTCTCCAAACTTGAGTTGTTGAACACCCAGAAGAGAAGATCAGTTATATCAGTATTGCAGTGGGAGCAGTGAGCTTAACTATTATAATCTCCTGTGGATATCAAGCACTTTGAAATATGCAGTATAGCCATGTGACTGTTATTTTTTACCAAATGTGGTTGTTGTAGAAGTTGATTCTCTATGGAATGTTAACAGATAAGAATCATAAAGTTTGTATAGAAAACATAGTATTTTAGCACAACAATTATATTATCTTTGAAACACATTTAAATGTCTTAGTTTAGAATAGCTTTTTTAGTCATCCTACCTAATACACAAAGAAGCTCTTACTTAATTTGGTATTCTTCAATAGGATGTCATTGAAGAAGTGTATGACATTGTCTGGACTGCCCAGTGTCTGAGCATCTCTAAGTGTAGTGATACATGTATAATGTATAGATTATATAAGCTTTTAGAAAAAATTTATCATTTGACTTGTGGTCTCATGCTGGAAAAAGGTCATCACAATCTTAGTTGTACATCTTAGAAGACCTGTACACCTGGGAGGCATGACTACATTTAGTACACCATGAGATTAGCAATAATGAATGTTACAGTTGCATGGAAACTTCTGTCTCTTAATTTAGTTTTGTATTAAGGGCATCTTTTAATAAGAAAATCTTACTATTTTACCCACAGAAAAGTTAACCTTTTGATGATAACCAATGTAAACATATTACAATAATATGTTTAGCAATGTTTATTGGAGTATGACTCCCATAGGGTTATGAAAATTACTGGGATCCCATTAGTCAACAAAGGCTAGATTAAAGTGTTTCTACGCAGCTGCTTCTTTATTCTCCAAGGGAAGTCCCGTCTAGCAGTTTTCCTAAGCCTAAGGGGTCTCTATTTAATTGTTTTAACAAATTTTAGATGACCTACGAGAACCAGATTATGACAACTAACATTATTTTTGACCAATTAAAGACTCCCAAGTTATTGTACACAGACAATAATAGGTATTGTATTTGTGAAACCAGTCTTGATATCATTTTGATTGGCTGGTAACCTGGGTGGAAGCATGTCTTTAACTGCAATTACATTTATCTGTAAGCCATCTTGAGTTATAGACAAATATTTTAAAAATCTAAAAAAAAAAATTATTGAGCTCAAACAAAAGAGCTGTACTTATTGTAACAAATTGAACAGACAGATGGACAGACACACATAAGATGATTTGTTTATAAACCAGAGTGCACTCAGATGTATTTGGCCAAGTTGAATTATAATTGTTTTTTTTGTTTTGTTTTGTTTTGTTT